TGTTGGTAGTGACTCTATGGCTCTCTGTGCTAACTCTATGAATTACTTTTCCCCACCCACCTTTCCTGGCCCCTCCCCTTGAACCCCCACAGTGGCTCCTCCCTCCGGTTGCCCCATGAGCCAATCGGCCTCCGCCGCCAACCCCGCGGTGGCCCCTCCCTCCGGCTGCCCCATGAGCCAATCATCGGCCACCGCCACCCCGGTGTCCCCGCCCTCCGGCTGCCCCATGAGCCAATCACCGGCCACCGCCACCCCGGTGTCCCCGCCCTCCGGCTGCCCCATGAGCCAATCGGCGGCCGCGGCCCCGCGTGGCCCCGCCCACCAGGAGGGTGCTTATCGTTTCGTTGGGACGCAAGTTGATGGGGACGCCGTCGACCCCAGCAACATGGTGAGAGGCATGGGCGGCTGGGGCAATCCATCACCCAGACACACCCCACACACACACACCACACACACCACACACCACACACACACACACACCCACACCCACACCCCCCCCCCCACACACACACACACACACACACACCCACACACCCACACCCCCACACACACCCCACACACACACCCCACACACCACAAACACCACACACACACACACGTAGACACAAGCAGGATGATTGCTTAAATATTGCGGCAAAGTGAGGCGGATGGGAAAAATAGTGTAAAAATTTTTTTTAAAAAATCGCAGAAAAATTGAAGTGAATGAAAATAATAAACGAAAATAACTTTGAAAAAAATTAAAAAATTTTGTAAAAATAAAACTGGGATAAATTGAAGTGAATGAAATGAATAAACGAAAATAACTTCGCAAAAAAATGAAGTGACCGCATTCGTGAACACAAAGCAGACCTTAAACACGGTAGGACCAACACCTCGGCCGTGGCAGATCACTGTTATTATTCAGTAGGCTCACATGACATTGACTTCTCCAAGACAGAGGTTCTTTGCAAGCCATCTGGCTACCATGAGAGATTCGTTCACGAGGCTATCCACATATACAAACACGGAGACAACTTCAACCGAGAAGATGGATTCTGGGCTTAGCAATCATTGGAAGGATTTGATAAACCATTTCGGGTCTTAATTGATTGTCCACGCTTACGGTTACCATGAGAGATTCATTCACGAGGCTATCCACATATACACGCCCAGAGACAACTTCAACCGAGAAGATGGATTCTGGGCTTAGCAATCATTGGAAGGATTTGATAAACCATTTCGGGTCTAAAATTGATTGTTCACGCTTACGGCTACCATGAGAGATTCGTTCATGAGGCTATCCACATGTACAAGCACGGAGACACAATTTCAACCGAGAAGATGGATTCTGGGCTTAGCAATCATTGGAAGGATTTGATAAACCATTTCGGGTCTAAAATTGATTGTTCACGCTTACGGCTACCATGAGAGATTCGTTCACGAGGCTATCCACATGTACAAGCACGGAGACACAATTTCAACCGAGAAGATGGATTCTGGGCTTAGCAATCATTGGAAGGATTTGATAAACCATTTCGGGTCTTAATTGATTGTTCACGCTTACGGTTACCATGAGAGATTCGTTCACGAGGCTATCCACATATACAAACACGGAGACAATTTCAACCGAGAAGATGGATTCTGGGCTTAGCAATCATTGGAAAGATTTGATAAACCATTTTGGGTCTTAATTGATTGTTCACGCTTACGGCTACCATGAGAGATTCGTTCATGAGGCTATCCACATGTACAAACACGGAGACACAATTTCAACCGAGAAGATGGATTCTGGGCTTAGCAATCATTGGAAGGATTTGATAAACCATTTCGGGTCTTAATTGATTGTTCACGCTTACGGCTACCATGAGAGATTCGTTCACGAGGCTATCCACATATACAAACACGGAGACAATTTCAACCGAGAAGATGGATTCTGGGCTTAGCAATCATTGGAAGGATTTGATAAACCATTTCGGGTCTTAATTGATTGTTCACGCTTACGGCTACCATGAGAGATTCGTTCACGAGGCTATCCACATATACAAAGCACAGAGACACAATTTCAACCGAGAAGATGGATTCTGGGCTTAGCAATCATTGGAAGGATTTGATAAACCATTTCGGTTCTTAATTGATTGTTCACGCTTACGGCTACCATGAGAGATTCGTTCACGAGGCTATCCACATATACAAGCACAGAGACACAATTTCAACCGAGAAGATGGATTCTGGGCTTAGCAATCATTGGAAGGATTTGATAAACCATTTCGGGTCTTAATTGATTGTTCACGCTTACGGCTACCATGAGAGATTCGTTCATGAGGCTATCCACGTATACAAGCACAGAGACACAATTTCAACCGAGAAGATGGATTCTGGGCTTAGCAATCATTGGAAGGATTTGATAAACCATTTCGGGTCTTAATTGATTGTTCACGCTTACGGCTACCATGAGAGATTCGTTCATGAGGCTATCCACATGTACAAAGCACAGAGACACAATTTCAACCGAGAAGATGGATTCTGGGCTTAGCAATCATTGGAAGGATTTGATAAACCATTTCGGGTCTTAATTGATTGTTCACGCTTACGGCTACCATGAGAGATTCGTTCATGAGGCTATCCACATGTACAAGCACAGAGACACAATTTCAACCGAGAAGATGGATTCTGGGCTTAGCAATCATTGGAAGGATTTGATAAACCATTTCGGGTCTTAATTGATTGTTCACGCTTACGGCTACCATGAGAGATTCGTTCATGAGGCTATCCACAGTATACAAGCACAGAGACACAATTTCAACCGAGAAGATGGATTCTGGGCTTAGCAATCATTGGAAAGATTTGATAAACCATTTCGGGTCTTAATTGATTGTTCACGCTTACGGCTACCATGAGAGATTCGTTCACGAGGCTATCCACATATACACGCACAGAGACACAATTTCAACCGAGAAGATGGATTCTGGGCTTAGCAATCATTGGAAGGATTTGATAAACCATTTCGGGTCTTAATTGATTGTTCACGCTTACGGCTACCATGAGAGATTCGTTCATGAGGCTATCCACATGTACAAACACGGAGACACAATTTCAACAGAGAAGATGGATTCTGGGCTTAGCAATCATTGGAAGGATTTGATAAACCATTTCGGGTCTTAATTGATTGTCCACGCTTACGGCTACCATGAGAGATTCGTTCATGAGGCTATCCACATGTACAAACACGGGAGACACAATTTCAACAGAGAAGATGGATTCTGGGCTTAGCAATCATTGGAAGGATTTGATAAACCATTTCGGGTCTTAATTGATTGTCCACGCTTACGGTTACCATGAGAGATTCGTTCACGAGGCTATCCACGTGTACAAACACAGAGACAATTTCAACCGAGAAGATGGATTCTGGGCTTAGCAATCATTGGAAGGATTTGATAAACCATTTCGGGTCTTAATTGATTGTTCACCCTTATGGCTACCATGAGAGATTCGTTCACGAGGCTATCCACATGTACAAGCACAGAGACAATTTCAACCGAGAAGATGGATTCTGGCTTAGCAATCATTGGAAGGATTTGATAAACCATTTCGGGTCTTAATTGATTGTTCACGGTTACCATGAGAGATTCGGTCACGAGGCTATCCACATGTACAAGCACAGAGAGACAATTTCAACCGAGAAGATGGATTCTGGGCTTAGCAATCATTGGAAGGATTTGATAAACCATTTCGGGTCTTAATTGATTGTTCACGCTTACGGCTACCATGAGAGATTCGTTCATGAGGCTATCCACATGTACAAGCACAGAGACAATTTCAACCGAGAAGATGGATTCTGGGCTTAGCAATCATTGGAAGGATTTGATAAACCATTTCGGGTCTTAATTGATTGTTCACGCTTATGGTCACCGTGAGAGATTCGTTCACGAGGCTATCCACATACACAAGCACAGAGACAGTTTCAACCGAGAAGATGGATTCTGGGCTTAGCAATCATTGGAAGGATTTGATCAACCATTTCGGGTCTTAATTGATTGTTCACGCTTACGGCTACCATGAGAGATTCGTTCACGAGGCTATCCACACATACAAGCACAGAGACAATTTCAACCGAGAAGATGGATTCTGGGCTTAGCAATCATTGGAAGGATTTGATAAACCATTTCGGGTCTTAATTGATTGTTCACGCTTACGGCTTACCATGAGAGATTCGTTCACGAGGCTATCCACATATACAAGCACAGGAGACAATTTCAACCGAGAAGATGGATTCTGGGCTTAGCAATCATTGGAAAGGATTTGATAAACCATTTCGGGTCTTAATTGATTGTTCACGCTTACGGCTACCATGAGAGATTCGTTCACGAGGCTATCCACATGTACAAAGCACAGGAGACACAATTTCAACCGAGAAGATGGATTCTGGGCTTAGCAATCATTGGAAGGATTTGATAAACCATTTCGGGTCTTAATTGATTGTTCACGCTTACGGCTACCATGAGAGATTCGTTCACGAGGCTATCCACATATACAAGCACAGAGACAGTTTCAACCGAGAAGATGGATTCTGGGCTTAGCAATCATTGGAAGGATTTGATAAACCATTTCGGGTCTTAATTGATTGTTCACGCTTACGGCTACCATGAGAGATTCGTTCACGAGGCTATCCACATATACAAGCACAGAGACAATTTCAACCGAGAAGATGGATTCTGGGCTTAGCAATCATTGGAAGGATTTGATAAACCATTTCGGGTCTTAATTGATTGTTCACGCTTACGGCTACCATGAGAGATTCGTTCACGAGGCTATCCACACATACAAGCACAGAGACAGTTTCAACCGAGAAGATGGATTCTGGGCTTAGCAATCATTGGAAGGATTTGATAAACCATTTCGGGTCTTAATTGATTGTTCACGCTTACGGCTACCATGAGAGATTCGTTCACGAGGCTATCCACATATACAAGCACAGAGACACAATTTCAACCGAGAAGATGGATTCTGGGCTTAGCAATCATTGGAAGGATTTGATAAACTATTTCGGGTCTTAATTGATTGTTCACGCTTACGGCTACCATGAGAGATTCGTTCATGAGGCTATCCACATGTACAAGCACAGAGACACAATTTCAACCGAGAAGATGGATTCTGGGCTTAGCAATCATTGGAAGGATTTGATAAACCATTTCGGGTCTTAATTGATTGTTCACGCTTACGGCTACCATGAGAGATTCGTTCATGAGGCTATCCACATGTACAAGCACATGAGACACAATTTCAACCGAGAAGATGGATTCTGGGCTTAGCAATCATTGGAAGGATTTGATAAACCATTTCGGGTCTTAATTGATTGTTCACGCTTACGGCTACCATGAGAGATTCGTTCATGAGGCTATCCACGTATAC